TAACATTCCCCAATGATGGGATTTTGTCCGGAGCGACGGCTGCCGCGACGGTTAGCAAGTTTGTCCCAATTCGTCGAAATAATTTGACGAACTTATTAATTTCCATTCAACATCGAGAGATCAGTAGTTGTGCCGAAGTTCCGACGTGAAAGAAAGTGCAGGTACGCGAAATAAAAGTCCAAGCGGAGCCGTCCAAGTCGTTTTTCAGAGTCTCGTGGGCGGTTAGTAATTAAAATATATTAATATAATTTATTAAGAGCTCCTTTTAAACTGAATTCTACCGAAAGAAGGAGTCCAGATATAAACTGGTGTATTTCAGTCTGACAGCAACTTTACTAGTCGTTTCGTAAAGATTGCGCTCCTTATGAGCGGTTTACATAGCACCCATATTTATCATATAAAATGACGGAATAGAAATGTGAAAAAAATTATTAAAATTTGCTCAAAACAATTTCATGCAAAATTTAACACGAAGATCTGTGTGTATAATTTTTTAATAGCCAAAAATTGTATAGTGTCAATTTAACGATTGACTCACTTATTTGACTCATTAATGTAATTTAAAAAATTATAGTTTCCACCATCGATTGCTGTGAGCTCACGTCGTGGTAATCTTGAAAGTTTATTTGGCCAGAAACTTTTTTTTTAATTTCCGTTAAGATATATAAATTTAACAGCAACTTCATTAGTCGATTTGTAAAAACTGCGTTCTCTATGAGGGGAATTCGTGTAGTACTTGTGTTTACCACGTAAAATAACGAAATAGAAACATAAAAACACTCATCAAAGTTTGAATAATCATATGAAATGTAATATGTAAAGTTCTGGATATAACTTTCAGTAAATTTGTAGCTGCATTATTATAACATCAAATTTACGTTATCGTGTAATGTAAATTTAATAATTAATTCAATGCGCGGCACATTTGGCTCATAAATGTAATTGAATTAATCGTGGCGTTATCGTCGTCGATTGTCTCATGTCAGGATAATTCTGAGAGTCTATCTGGGAAGCGATAAAATTTATCTCAACGTCGCGCGATTCGCCGAAAGCGCACGCGGCTTATACGCCATCTCTCACGCGTCGAATCTTCGGCCATGAAAAGCCCGTCGTTACGAAACGAACGGCCTTCGATATCGCGCGGATGCCTCGCGCATGAGAGAATAAAATTCCTTCCGGATGTTCCGGCTTCTCGTGGTCGCCGGCAATATCTCACGGCTGCCGTCGTGATCTCACGTACGTGTTTCACGGCATCGTTTCGATGCCGTTTCGCGACGATAACGATCGCGAGACGCGGGGCTCGCGCTTCCGCCTTTTGTGACTCACCTCAGTCGATTCGTCATCTCGACCGGCAGATAACGACGACGAAGGAAATCACGCCAAATCAACAACCCATGAGCGTCGACTTCGAATTCAGAAGCTTGAGAATATCCAAAAAGTTTATAGAAAGATTTCTATACTGTAAGGCCCATTTTACAATAGATGGAGTAAGACGAAATGGAAATAATTTATTTCGCTTACACCCTCTTACTCCAGCTCCTTACTCCAGCTCTTACTACTTAATTCAGGCTTACTCCATGTGATGTAGACGGGCAAACTTTTATTGAAGTAAGGGAGTAAGCGAAATAAATTATTTCCATTTCGTCTTATATACATATATATATATATATATATATATATATATACACATACACACACACATACACACACACACATATATATGTATGTGTATATATATATATATATATATATATATATACCATATATATATATATATATATACACACACACACACACACTCCTACTTCTTACTCCATCTATTGTAGGTCGAGCCTAAAAGTTGATGTGTTAAATTTAACACATTTCATGTATCCCAAATCATCCACTCCCATTTATATGTAAATTTAACACAAAACAAATGTGTTAAAAAGTAACACGCATAATATGTAAAAAATTAACACAAGAATTTAATACTTGAATATCGTCAGGAATCACAAGTTATATTAAATTGACATATTTAATATGTCACACATAGATTATGTCAATTTAATATTTTCATTTCATCAAACCATAGGCTGATACTTCTCTTAAATGTTAAAGTAAGGATTTTATTTTATTTTAGTTAATTTTTAACATTATACGTCAATTATAATTATACGGTATACGTTATATGTCAATTTAACACAACCTGTGATTCCTGACGGTATTCAAGTGTTAAATTCTTGTGTTAATTTTTTACATATTATACGTGTCACTTTTTAATACATTTGTGATAAATTGACACATAAGTAAGAATGGATGATTTGGGACACATGAAATGTTAAATTTAACACTTCAGTTTTTACAGTATACACATGCGTGGTTAGGTTTTCCGCTGAATATGGTAAAACAAAGCACATTTACCTAAATTCTGTATGAACAAGAAATACGAAAAGGAAACGTGATTGTGTTAGTGACGATCATTATTCGAATGCGTCGTCGACTTAAATATTCCCTTGAAATAATCACTTGGAAGTCGTTGGACGATTTCAATGAAAATTTCACTTCCTTCGAGGCTAAACGGGCCCTTAAACCGCCAAGAGCTACGGAATTTGCAGACGGCCTGTACGCGATGTTCATGTGGCCGTAACGAGAAGCTTTGTGTGTATTTTCGAGGGACCGGGGATGGAGGACGTTAATATTGAAAAATCCGCGAAATTACCGGGCCACCGGCGGCAAAACATCAGCGGCGTTTTGCATAAATTCAGACCGATCGCGAAAGGGTTAATAATCCGACAGGCCGATCTCATGTTTAGCCGGGGTCGTAACGGCTGGCTGGCCGGTCGGCCGGCCTGCCTGCCGGGGGTAGAGAGGGTGAGGGTGATCATGCCGCGCGTTTCACAGCGCGGTTTGAATTTCGACTTGAATGCGAGCCAATATGGGGTACATAACTCCGCGCCGGCCATTAGTTTCGCCTTTACGAGGCAAATGAACCATGCCACTGCGCGCTCGTAAGATCGTGGAGTTTACATTTTTAACGACGGAACACGTTCGCCCCCGGTGCGCGTTGAGAATTTGTTTCGCGGCTGGCAAACGAGCGAGAGAGCGAGCGAAACCGCAACGACCGATTCTCCTCTTCGCGTGCTCAGAAGAGTAGCGCCACGTTTTGCGAGAGATCGATCTAACCCCCGGCAACGTCGGGCCCTGATTTGTGTAGCACAGTGTGTATACACTGTGCTCGAAAAGGCGAAAAGGATGCGGGCTGACTCGATCGCGCGATCAGAGTGCATTTCTTTAAATATTATATCGGCTCGAGATAGATGGCCCGTTAAAATTCGTTCTCTTTGCGTTCGCGAGATGGTATAAACGGATTTGTAAAAATCGCGGGTGAGAATTATGTCTCTCAAAACAGATACACTGAGATGTACATTGAGAGACACAAATACCTGAGAAATAGGAAATATTTATTCGGTGGATACCGATAATATATTTCATCTAAATGGAATGAACGTTTACTTTTATGAGATGCGACATTTTTGAGAAAAATATGTTTCCATTTGAAAGAAATCTCTTCTCAACGATAAAAATATTGATATCATTGCAAGTGAATATGTTGTCAGTAACCATCGAATGTTTCTTAGTTTTTAGATATTTTTTTCTTTCAGTATATATATTGTTATAAGAAAACAAGATTTCAATAATAGGTGTAAGTTAACAAGATTTTTCTGCTTAACTTTTGAACGGAATCCTAGTGACATAACCGGAATTTTCTGGTTCGTGCATATTTAAAAAATTGGTTAATCAAACCAAACTTCTTCTTCTGTGTACTGCTAAGAACAGCGGTTACTTAGTTTACTTTTCTTCTTTTAAGTAATGGTTATCCTCAACAAAGAACATTTTCTTTGACGAGAGTCTTAAAATATGCTCATCGCAAATTTGAGAAAAACTCATTATCGTGTGTACTCAGAAGAAAAATTTATTTTTCTCGTTAGAGGAATATTATAAAACTTCATTGAAGGAAATATTGGTTCGACTCTGTAGTAAGCAAACGAATTTTTCTTTTAATATCATACTCTTGATTGGAATGTTAAACTCGCTAAAATTCAAAATGTATTTCGAAATGGAGTGTTTGTGACAAATTTACATGATAAATTCGCGGAAACTTATGAAACAAGAAACATTTACTCAGTAAATGCAGTACGCATTTTTACGCATTTTTCTGTGTGTAAAGATTGCAACTATATGCTAATGTTATAAGGTTTCCAATGTCATTATACACAGGATGCGCTCTACGCTTTCACGAGAGATTGTGAAATCGAATTGGAACAATCTGTATATATAATTATTATTAATGCAAGTATAGAATTAAGAAAACCATGATGTTAATTTATCCAGTATCTTTTAAGAGAAAAAGGGAGAGAGAGAAATCCAAATGCAGACGGTGTTGTTGACTGGCGCGACGGTGTTGGTTAATCCGTAATAAAGAGCAACGTCGCGACTGTATCGCATTACAATTGCCCTTACTGTCCCTCTCGCCTTTGTAATATCGACGATATATCGGAATCCCGATGAGACTCCGGCATTGTCGAGTACAACGCGGTTAGAGGTATTTCCTGTAGACGGGGGACGAACTTTAACTAGTTAAAGCCACTTTCAGTAAAGGTCGCATTGCCGTAACCTCCTTACGGGATTACGATCCTTATGGAAAATTCCGAAGGAATTGGCCGGCGACGAACTGAAACTCATTAAATTAATTTGCCGCGGGAACGACGACGACAACGACGACGGTGTCGTTGTCGTCGGCGCAATTATAAAATTATGTGCTCGGCGATGAAAAATCGATTTCTTCGTGCACAACACACACATACATCTTTCGCCATTTGATCGGCGAACGATGTCGCCTCGAATGTCGCCTCACCTGTCGCATCACGATGCACCGACCTCCTTTTCCTCGTACAATATACATTCGTAGAGAGCGTGACAATTTAGTCGTTAATCGTAGCAATTTGATTTCTTTTCAGAGCGATCGACGAAGGAGAAATGGCACTCAAGTGGAAACTCGCGAAGTAAGTTTATGTATATACTTTCTTTAATTTCTATTCTCTCTCTCTCTCTCTCTCTCTCTTTTTCTCACACTTTCTATCCCAGGCAGGGCACTCCCACCCGCTTGTCCGTTACAAAGAGGAGCGATTTTCATTAAAAGTGAAATATTTCTATCGAACCGAAAGTACGGAACAAAGGGGCCAAGCAAATCCGATAGTATCTCTTTTATTCCGTTTGTAAAAGTACAAGTCGAGCGGGACGTTCCGCGGACGCGTCCCGTGCCATTTGCAAAACCAGCGATTCGATAAATTGATGTAACATTGTTTGCCGTTGCTCGGTTGTTGTGTCGCGCATTGTGCGCATACAAGAGTGCATACATACGGCAAACGTCTCGGACGGGGAGACGGTCGCCAAAGTCCAAAGTAATTTCGGGACACGCGACAAAACGTTTAGCACAGATTCCTTAGCGTCCACTGACGATCCCGGAAACACGTCCGCGGCATTGTTTGAGTTTCGATTTGAACGCGGTCCAATATGTACCGCACGGTACATAGTCGTCTATATTAGCTTCTCATTTGCTTGGCGCACGCGATGTTGCCGACGATGCCGTTAGGGAGAACGAGCGACAGAGAAAGAGGAAGAGAGAGGGAGCAGCCAATTAAATTAACTAATAATACGCGCCGTAATCACCTTACATCGCGTGCCGTTCGATCAATTACCAATTATATAACAGAGGAATGTCCCGACAAATTAATGGGGGCTATTAAGTATCGAGAATCGTCGTACAAAAATTTAATTAATTTTAATGGCCGCGCGGGCGGAAAAATCGTTGTAATTAGATTTTTACTTTTAATGAGCGATCTCGTGTGTATAATAACGCGTATGTACGTGTGTAAATGTCACAATGTACAAGTGACATTATGAGATCGCCTAAAATCAACCAGATCACAGTCGCGAGATAAGAACTGAATCATCATTTTCCATTTTATTGTGTAGGGCTCTCAAATAAAGTGAGAATCCAATAGAGCGTGTCAGAGAGTTAACAGCGATTTGATAATACAAAGTCTGCGAAGACGGTCTCTCTCTCTCTCTCTCTCTCTCTCTCTCTCTCTCTCTCTTTGTCTCTCTTTTTCTTTCTAGGTACACATATTTCGCGACATCGTCGTTTGAGTTTCGACTTGAACCGAAGCCAATCCACGAGCCGGTGTTTTGCCCTCCAGAGCGCGGCGAATCGCGTCGTAAGGACGATTGTTACGGCGATTCACGATAAAATCCTTATTCCACGGCTCGCCGCCGCCGCCGGTGTTGCCGTCAAAGGGAGAGAGAGAAGCGAAACCGCTTTCTTAAATATTATTCGCCTTCGAGCGTTCTATTATTCCACGCGAGACAGAAGCGGCCAGGAATTCGATCCCGCCGCACAGAAAATTTTCACGGGATACGACCCGTTCTTCTCTCTTTTCTCTCTCGTTTTTCTACCCTTTCTTGTTCCTCCTCTTCCGCGCTTTCTCTTTCTCTCCTTCCTCTCTTTTTCTCTTTTTTCCTATCTTCTTTTTTTCACCAGAGGACGAATTCGTCCCTATCGACGCGGATCGAATCGGCAAAATTATGTTGTTGCGCTGGCGAAACGAGGTATTTCGTTTCTCGCCTTCGACGCGCGCTCTAGTGTTTTATGTAAAGACCGAACAATTTTATTCCACGTCCTCGAATACACTCTTCTCTTCCCTCGTCCTTTTTTCCTCACACACACTTTCTCTCTCTCTCTCTCTGTCTCCCCTTCTCTTTCTCTCACTGTGCCTCTCTGTCCCTCTTCTTTGGGGACCTCCTTCCGTCGGTGCCATAAATTTCACCCGCGCTACCCCCTCGTGCTTTTGCACTGTTACTCGCCCATATATTCCGATATCCTAGAACTCAACCTTGTTCCCGCAACCCATTTCGAAGCACTCCCGCGGTTACTTTGGCTCGCCCACCTTATACGTATATCGCGAATTCCGATATCGCGACCGCAGTGCTCTACGGATACATTCAGCAACTATATCTTCGTGCTTCACGTAGAACGGATGAGGCTTTCAGTTTCATCGTCATTTCGGGCACCCACGAGAGCGCGCGCTCGAATTTATTTTATTCGCCTAGCCGTGGCGAAGGACCAAGGCTGTGACGTACTGCAAAAAGCACGATTATTTTACTTATATTTCGTGCAAGTAATATATCTCAGTTTAATTCGCACTACACGCGTGTTAAGTAAACGCGTAAGTAAACACATAAAGATTACGTTGAGAACATTTAACAAATTTTGACAGCTCGAAACAATCAGTGGTTTCGAAAAAGTCGAAATGTTTGTTTTACGTTAATCTTGCAAATTCCGTCAAACTTGAAGGACCAGCGAAAAATCTTGAGATATAATACTGTATAGACCACTATTTTATTGCTGCAAATGGTTATTAACCATTGTTTCATTGCGGACTTAAAAAAGGGACTTACTGAAGAATTATTTCATATCTGTGATTGTCCCGATATCCGCACTTAATTTTTCATAATTCCCAGAAACGATGTAGTTTATTCAACTGCAGATAGAGTATATCGCGACGAATAAATATAAAGTAATCTAGTGAATATTAGAATGAATAGATGAAGTGTTGACAGTTGTATATTTTAGTATTCATCATAATTTAACACAAAGATATTAGCGCGTTTTTAAATACGCGAACATTGGTGGGTTTCGCTTGTCGTATTTATTCTCTGGAAGATGATTCCGCGCGAGTCGGCCGGAAGAGTCGTGCTTCATAAGAAATTTTGCCATGTGTGTATATGTATATATGTGTGTGTATATTTTATCGCGACGCAGAGAGCGCACGCGAGCTATTTTCACGCTATTTTCTGCCGGGGACTAAAGAAACGGCATGATGTATGAAATAGACGTCACGCGCTAACGACGATCCATTATAAAACGCCAGGAGAGTCCGAACAAAACCCATCCACCGATCGGACTTTTTAATACGTCTTTTTTCTGAAAGTCCTCGTCCGCTGTTTCCTCTGTTTCGTTTTTGCGTGCACCCCGCGAAACGTCAACAACGACGTGTCGTCCTCCGCTTTTAATTTGCCGGCCGAAGAGCCGATTCCCTCGTGCGTCCGCCCACGTCGAAGCGATTTTCACTCTATTTGCTTAGCCGGCGTTTAACGGCCGGCCGTGCGCTGCTAAACCCACCGCAATACGGGAGAGGGATGCGCCAAGGAACCGTATTTTTCTCGTCCTTGATTTTGCCGGGGAACTCGCTTGTATTTGTACAGTTACCGTACGTATTCCGTACGAGAATCCCTTTTCCACCTCACTGGACATTCCGATATCCCAGTACTTAACCTTGTTCCCTGAATCCGTTTCGTGGCATTCTCTCCCATTGTTTTCCCACTCTTCTCCCGGTCTCTCTCCTCTCCTTTCTTTTTTTTATCTGCAAAATACCCACGGTCGAGAATCGTCAGCCGAGTGGATTTTCAACTTGTAAATCGGGAACTGTATTTCTCGCCACCTATGTGTGTCGGAACAATCACAGCTTGTAGTATAACGTCGGCATACCTTCATTTCTTCCATTTTATCATGTTTTGTTTTTCTTTTTAATAACATTCACTGAGAGAAAGACTATTTAAAGAAATAAAAAATATTTATTTTCGGTGTATACTAATATAAATTATTTTTCCAATAAGGGGATGTACATTTTCTCTTGAAATGTTTTTCGTAAAAGTAATTTGAATAAAAGAATTTAAATTTAAGTAAATATATTACATTAGTATCTACCGAATAAATATTTTTTTATTTTTATAATATTTTATCTTACAGTATTATTTTTTCTTCTCTTATAGGGTCTTTTGATCCAAATTTGATTTATTGCTTCATCAAGCGCGTGACCTTTCCACCGATTCGCTCACTCATCTCTTCACATCGCGCGGGGTTTTCTTGCCACGTAAATTTACTGCTTACCTCTCGATAGAGATTACTTTTTAGGTAGAATAGAAGCCCTCTTTCTCGCCTTATTTCGCTACGGTGCTCGATATGGCGACTCTTAACTTCCCCACTAACGCGTATCCGCCTTTTCAACGGGCGAAAATCCACTCCACCCAGCGATTTCCGTAATCCGCAATCCACTCGATTCTCGCTCGTCGGCGTGAAATTTTAATACCAAATCGATCCTGCCGTCGCGGCTTCGTTCGCCAGCGTTACGCGAACGGTATCGATTTCGACCGCCGCGACAATTACGATTGACGTTTCGATACGCGATCGAGGAAGCAGCCTGATCGGATTCCTCGACCCGATGTCGTTGTTGCTTTCGACAACAACGAGGCTGCAGCCGGCGCAACCCGCTCTCGCGAGCTGCCGTTCAACTTCGAGTTCCATCATAGTAACGGCGGGATACACTTTCTCGCCAGTAACGTAACCAACGACCCCGCAAATCCCAAGAGGGTCCTGGTGCCGAAAGAAGAAAAAGGAAAAGTCAGAGAGAGAAAGGAGAAAGACAAAAAAAGCAGTGATAGGAAAAGAAATAAATCCGTTTATTATTTCGGAACGAACGTTATCGCGCGAAACAAGAGAATAATACGAAAACGAAGAACACACGAGTGACATATGAAACACCGACGCGCGCGCATCGAAATTGACAAGAAATGGAAAAAAGAGACAAGGAGGAAAAATAAATATAAAAGCCGATATGTGTCTCTCCTACGCGGGCACTATTCTTGTACTTGCAACGTGAGTTGCGCGACGTTGAGAATATCAACCTAGCGAGTCAAGTATTCAGTTGGTTAAAATAACGTATTTACTTGTCTACTTATTTATTTATTCGGCGCACGGGGACAATATTAAAACAACGTCACGTGTGTGTATGCGCGCGCACGCACGCACACGGGACCGCTTGTTGGAAGTATACAAGTTAAATAATTGATCGTTGTGAGAGAACTCGACGGCGCGGGGAGCGGGAGAAACGGATCGAAATGGAACGAGGTCAGAGGAGAGGTGGGAGAAGAAGGCGAAGGAAAG